CCAAGCTCAAGAGATCACCCCTTCCAGTCCAAGCTCCACCAGCCTCCCCTGCTTTCCTTATTTTTTTTTTTTAAAAAACAACAACAACAAAAACAAATAAAATCAAATAACCCAACAATCAAAACTTTTTGTTCTCTGGGCAGACTGTTTTATCAACTTTAAGAACTGAAAGCTGAGGGTAGCAGCAACCAGGCAGGAGGGTGTAAGATTAGAACCTCTTCCACCTACACCCCTCCCCCAAGAAAGTTTCTTGCACTTAAACAGTTCAAAATCTACTGGCATCAAGATCTCTAAGCTTCCCTCCTAGTGTCCCAAACAGAAAAGAGAAGTGACAAAGGCAAGTAAGAAAATGAATAAACTTAACCATCCTTTGCAGTACCAGGCACCCAGAAGCAATTTCTGTGCTTAGGACTGCCAACACTGTTTAAGTTGTTAGCCAGGCATAAACTTAATCAAGTGATATGAAAAAACAAAATAAAACAAAAGCCCTCCAACTCTTTTCAAGGTTGTGCATCTTTGCTACCTTCTTAGACTTCCCTGTGCCCCATCTACAGCCATCATTGAAAACCAATCTCTATAGAGTTGGGTCCTGTTTCTTCATGTGATTGTGTGCATCATATCTTTTCCAAATAGTACAAAATTCCTTTTCCCAATTAATTTTCTAAATTTAAATAGCTGGCAACACAAGTTTTTTTTTTTAACACTTTGTAGCAGAACTCTTTGTCTGCCATTTTGAATACATAAGATAACTTTTGCTCCCCACCCCAAATATTGTGCTTTCAGAGTTTGTAGTCGTATATGGCTAAGACTATACATATAAGTTTCTAAGAATCAAAGCCATTTAAAAGCTTCTGATGCAATAAGTACTGGAACATATGGCCAGGATTGGGTCCTGTCTTATAACATGACCAGTGATTCCCAAGAAGGAAGATCTATGTGTTCTGCCCTCTGCAATTTTAGTATGGTGGGATCATTCAGAAATAGCCAGCTCAAAGTACTGGGATATGAAATGGGGAAAAAGTGAAAAAGTGATACACATTATCCTGTGTCTTTAACTGATAGATATCAAGAAGAATCCCAAAATGGGCCAACTCTATAGAGCTGCACCATGATGGTAGTTTATGTAGCACAGGTAGTCTATGACTATGACTATGATCTTCTCAGATTATAAATCTGCATAAGGAAATGTTTGGACTGCATGGCTGACAGAAATGTTCCTTAAGATATGTTTGGATTGTTTTAATGTTCATTTATTTATTGTTAGTTTTCTTTCATTTTTTTTTTGGTATAATTGGACACTCAGCCCATGCATTTACTTGCCCACTTGTTTTGCAAGTGCAGTGCCACTGAGGCATACTTCCAAGTCATGATGTACTCCTTTTAAAATCCAATATCCCATATGAAATCTTAAAAATTCATTTTCATAGAGTATATAGAAATATACAGGACTAAAATGTATGAAAGAGCACTGAATCACAAATAATGTAAAAGACATTTAAAAAACTAAAACAACAAATTCAAATCTCAGCATAATAACACTTTGAAGGTTAACAGTAATCTCAAAACACAATGATGCAGATACTGGCAAGTTTTCTTGGTCAGAGGAGTTTTGCATTATGTGTCCACTTGGCAGAAACCACAGTAGGCACATTGTTAAAATGAGGGCAATGACGTACTAACAATGTTTATTATAGCATTATTTTTTTTCTTTTTCAGAAACAATGAAGGAATTGTTAATCATGTTATAGGAGATATATGAGACTATTGGGAAATTTGAATTTTAAGAAAATATACTTATTACCTAATAGGAAAAAAATAACTTCATAATCTAATGTTGAACAATATATTACCACAATTATAGAAAAATGAGTGTAATATGCAAAACACATTAAGAAAGGATTACACTTTTTCATTTATTCTCTTCCATATATTCCAAGGTGACTACAATAAAAATGTATCAGAAAGCCAGGCTTATGACACACTTCTGTTATCCCAGAACATGGAAGGTTGAGGCAGAAGAACAGAAACAGATTGAACTCCATAGACATACCCTATCTCAAAAATAACCAACAACACAAGCAAACAAGAGAGACTGCCATTTCATCATATGCAATTAATGATAAATTAATAGTGACCGTGTGAAACAACTTCTTCAGCAGGTTTGCAAACTCCCACACCCACTGGACGAGGATCAAAGAAGCAGTTAGCCTTCTCCATGGAAACAATAAAGACTGTCAGAGGACAGAGAAATCAAGTAGAATTCATGGAGGTCTTCTCTCAACGCTGACATTCCTTTTAAGGTGGAAATAGTAGAACAGTCCCAGCCACATCTTCTACTCATCTCTTCCCTTGATAACATCATCATTGCTCACTTGCTCTACCAGCAATTCTTTGCCCCTCCAGCTACTCTGAAGGAGGGAGATAACTGTTTCCACAACTACCAGCTCTGCCCTCCAAGGTGAAGGTTAAATTTAAATGCATGCATGGGTAACTTTAATGAGTCAAAATCTGTGGGATCTAGTACTTCTAGTGAGGGTATAAAAAAGCATGTAATTGTGCTAAATTACCACAAGTTCAGGGATATGAGAAATAGACATATATTGGAGTCCTAGAGGGTAGTGATTTTAGCAAGTAGTTAGGGAAATGTGCAATCACTTAGAATTTTTATTTATTTGAGGTTTTCAAGGCATTTTGATAGGGACTTCCTCAGGACAGTGGAAAAATAAATGGATTAGGCTAAAAATAAGTGGCAGGGGAAGTAGGACCAGATGGGACTTTCAGCTCTGTACCAAAGAATAAAGCAGTGGAAAATAGGATTCAGTGCTCCAAGGAAGGCAGAACAGTAGTTCAGTGATAGTGTGTTCACTGAGTGCTGTAAGCTCTAAGTTCCATCCCTAGCAGAGAGGTAGGGGGTAGAGGTAGTACTAATAATTATATATCCAAAGACCACAAACATAACTAAAAGGAAAAAATATATATGTGTTACAGTGAGGTTAATTTCTACATTTGCAACATAAAATCAACACTATTTTTCAAATTATAAATGGTGATGAGTGCACAAAAATCCCAAAGTTTACATAGAATTAACTTTCATGTAGCATGTATCCACAGAATAAAAATTTTGGACTTATATATAATATTATCAAAAACAAATTTAATTAATATAAATGTTTGAATTTATAAAGTCAATGAATCTACTTCTAGAAATATGATAAAACGTATGATAATGTTCTTTGTAAGTTAAAGAAGCAATATCTTTGAGTATTGTACTAGTATTTTTTTCCTCCTTGACTCAGTTCACTCAAAATTACATCATGTTTTTCCTACAAGAAGTATAAATGGGATCTCAAGAGGTTACATTTAAGATTTTATCACACCTAGACTCAAATGAATGAATGAATAAATAAATAAATAAATAAATGAAATAGCTGATTTAAAACTCTCTCCCTACTACACATGTCATGGCAAACAGTAGAGATAGCAATAATGTGACATCTAGTAGTGAGGACCCAAGTTAAGAACCTGTTGAACTACTTATGCAGGCTATCAACACTGAAGCAGATACTGCAGTCACCACCCTTTATATTTACAGCAATTGTAGCACGCAGATGGGAAATCACAATCTAAATTATACACTCTTGTAGAACACCTTTTGTGCCAAATACAAGAAAAAAAACAAGACACTCTGGAGAGGAATGTAAACCTGGAAACTGGTGGTTTTAAATTCTAGTAACATGCTTATTACTCATATTGTTTAAATGTAAATAAAAAGCACATAGGACATTGTCTAAACACTACAGGGTATTATGAAATGTCACACTGTATTTAAAAACAAAATTAACCCCCAGAAATCTAATACTAATTCATACACAGAACATATCTACTCAGAACACTCTGCCAGCCACTTTTTTATGTGCTTAAAGACCTATGGTGAGAAAAAAAAAAAAAAAAAGAAGCAAACTAATACAGATCTTGTCCTTAGCAGCAATACTTTTAAAATATTTAATAATGAGATGGGACCATGGGTTGTTTGTATTTTTCATATCAGTTATTAAATAATAGTCACAATGAAGAAAATGTTCAGCTGACAAATAACTCATGCTAAATATATGAGATTTTTAATATGACATACAGCATTTACATATATCAATGGAATTTGATCTGATTTTATAAAAGAATTTTTAAGATGCTAAAGCAAAGGCACGCATACGCATTCTAGTATGTTTAAAAGACATGTATGGATTAGAAAATCTCTAAGACAATTACCATAAAATACAATTATTTGTGACCACTAGGTGATGGGACTGTAGGAAAAAAAAACTTGTTTTCATTAACACTTTACAGAAAATTTCCAGACGGAAGTGAAACAAAGTCTACACTGAAAAAAACACACTGATAAAGGTCTACAAATCCCAGGACAAGCAGGAGGTAGAATAATAAGGCCTTTCAGAGAAGCCAAAATACAAGTAGCTGTAGTGTCTAGGCTGCCCCACAACAGTAACGCCAACTTGAAAAATAAAGGGATTTGTTCTAAGGCTGTGAATATTAACAAGGTAAAGTCTAGAATTTATTAACTCAATTGCCAGTTCCAGGCAGACACAAATCCTACTAGGGGAAAATGACGGGAAGGGGAGAACGGGAAGAAGGTAAGGGAATAAAGGAAGGGAAAAAAAAGCCTTTTTAGTTTAAAAAGACTCACAGTATTTTTTCAAACACATAGGGCAGAGGAGAAGGGGCTGTATGGCGCAACACTGCCATCTAAGACTTTAAAGAAACAGACAGGCACCCACATCGGAGGATCGTCCATCTTCGGAGGATCATCCATCTTTTCCGCTGCTTTTCTGCCCACAGCCCATAAGATGAAGGCTGGGAAAAACAGGTGGGATGAACACACAAGGCACTCAAACCTGAGCAAGGGAACTGAAGACCCATTCAAACAAAGGAAGCCTTTCTTAAGTCCCGCCCGCGGAACCATGGCAACAGCAACAGGAAGTCCCTACCACATTGGAAAGATGAGCTCTTCTTAGGGTAGGATTGGCTGGTTCCGAATCTGCAAGCATATGCTGGGGAGGTTGCTGACAGTCTGCCAGTCCGGCTGGCTCCGAGTCTCCTGCACTTTCCTTCCAACGCTGTAGTTGCCTGTTGCCTAAGAGACGTGGTTGGTGATGTCCAGAACCTATTCCCGACAGCCCCCTGCGCCTCAAGCTCAAGACGTGTACAAGGACATGCTCCTCCCACTCACCCCAGCCTCAAACCCACTTCTGACGCACACACTGTCCTCCAGGCCCTCACCTATCTGAATCTAACTGCCCACTGCAGTGCTTACGACACCAAGCAAGCCGCCATTGGGGCCTCTCATCCTTTGGGGCCCCCTTCCCCTCTAAGGTCACACCTAAGCATCAGGGAACAACTTGCCTGTAGGGCCAATAATGGATAGCTGCCCTGCCAGTATCTGAGCTCCCAGACAATGACAAGAAAAATCTTAAAAGCCTTCCTAATTATTTTAGCTCTATCCTAACATAACTGAAAAAATTATTTCTTAAGAAAAAACAGGTTTCTTTTTTTTCTTTTCTTTTCTTTTTCTTTTTTTTTTTTCTTTTCTTTTCTTTTCTTTTTTTTTTCTTTTTTCTTTTTCTTTTCTTTTTTTTTTTTTGTGGAACTGTACACTATCTTTTTAATAAAAGCAGTAGGTTTGCCATAAGGACAGATAGGCAGTTCTTTACTTTTCAAATAGTCTCCTGAGTAGCCCAAATCCTAAAATAACTTCCTTTCCAGCTGGGCAGTGGTGGTGCAGGCCTTTAATCCCAGCACCAGAGAGGCAGTGGTAGGTGGATCTCTGTGAGTTCAAGGCCAGCCTGGTCTACAACAAGTGAGTTCCAGGACAGGCTCCAAAGCCACCGAAAAAATCCTGTCTGGAGAAAAAAACAAAAACAAAAATAAAGAACTTCTTCTCCATCTGAGATCCATTCTTTCCCTGAAGTACAGTCCCTTTATTTTCTGGGCATGCTGTTTCCTCAAATGTAAGACTAAGAAGCTAGAGAACCCAACATTCAGGCAAGGAGGTGATAAGAAAGGCCCTGCTTCTGCTATAGCTCCACCATGCACTGCACTTTCCCCTCTCCTGGGAGTTTCTAGCACTTAGAATTTAAAATCTATGTGATGTCTAAGTTTTCCTTTCTATTCAGTATCTCAGACACACAGAAAAAATAAGATAAGAAATAGGAAATTACAGGAATGAGTAAACTCTGTCATCCTGAAGAGTATCATATACCCAAAAGTAACTTCTAAGCTTAGGGCTACATCAATGACAAGCTTTTGAATTAAGAGAAATTTTCACTCTTAAGATACTTTTTTTTAGTGCCCTACTGTGTCCTACCTAAACAGTATGAAGGTGCATGGACAACAATAGCACCCAAAACTACTAAACTCCATAGATATTTGAGTCCTTCTATTTCCAGTAAATGGGATTTTTTTAAACAAACTATTTCTTTTTTCAAATAGTAAGCTCATCATATATTTTCCAGTATGTAGTTCCTAATGGCAATGTAGGTTATGCTATTTTGTTATAGCACCCTTTCTGATTTGAAGGTGCATGAAGAACCCTTTACTTCTAAAGTCGTGATTCCAGACCTTGTGGTCTGTTAGAAAATCATGTAAGATTTGAGTATATACGTCTAAGAATCAAAGCCTACAAACTCCTAGTTCCAAGTGTTGCTAGTCAGAGCCTAGGCCTGGCAGACCACCTATCCTCAGTAAGCCAATTAAACAAACAAAGTAACAGTAAAATAAGCAAAGATTTGTTTGCTGCAGCCATCCTGCGCAGATGAGCACAGAATTCCAGTGATCTGCCCCCAAACCCATTTTCTAGTATACAGAAGTGATATTTAGGTTTAAATAGAGAACCAAAAGATGCAGAAATAAGTGGTGGTCAAAGTGTGGTCCTAGCCATCAATATATTTTAGACTCCAGTCTTTTAAAAGGTGGTCTGACAAGATATCAGAACTATGTGCAATCTCTTCAAGAGACAGCTTCTCGCCCCGGCTGGAACAGGGTTTCAGTATTTTAGTTCCCCAGAATGAAATTTCTGGAGAAATTTCCAATTCCTTGAAGTCCATTGGTGAACAGATAACCAAAGGAAGAAATACTTGTTTCTTTAGGACATCTTCATTCTTGCCTGGACACTTACACAAGAAAATAACAGATTCCACGATCAGCAACAGGACTTGCTATTTCCTAGAAGGACAGCACATAGCTCTATCCTTGTTTGTATTCTTAGTGTGGAAGAATTGTTCAAATGTATCCAAGGCAAGGTATCACAAGGTAAAATAACAAACAAGCGACTCAAACAAAGATAACAAACAAGGAGGCTAGACAACCTCAAAGCTGAGGCAAGAGTGGAGTTTATCTAGGACAGGGAATAGAGTTTGTGATTGTGTTCCACCCCAGATTCCAAAACTCGTGGTTCCACCACCTTTTAAATATTTACTTATGAAGTTGTTTTTCTTTCCTTGTTACTCCTTTGTTTTTACTCTTTGCTGATCTGGGGATTGAACTCAGAGTCTTCCAAGTGCTAAGCAAATGCTCTAATACTGAATGTATAGTTCTGATCACAAAATACTCATTTTATTTTTTACTATTTTTAAAATTTTTTGTTTATACTTTCTGCTTGAGTACTTTGCATGCATACATGCATGCCAGAAGATTCCATTATGGATGGTTGTGAGCCACAATGTGCTTGCTAGGAATTGAACTCAGGATCTCTGCAGCCTGTGCTCTTGAACTCTGAGCCATCTCTTCAGCCCCTAAGTAGTCCTTTTTAAATTACGAATATCTTATATGAAATCTTATAAGCTCATCTTTATATAAAAAGTATGAAAAATAAATGTGTAAGTCTTAAATGAAAAATGTAGACCTTCGATGTCATTTAAAAGAATTTATTTTAAAACAAAAACAGTACAGCAAAGTCTGAATTTAGTAACATTTAAAAGGTCAGCAATCATCTCAAGGTACAGTAACACAGACACTTGATAAATGTTCTCCAAGGAATTTTGCAAAATATATCTCTAGCAGTCTCAGTAGGAGCCAATATAATCTAAAGACACACACTTGTGCCCCTGCCTTGGGCTATCAGACTATTGAAACAACAGACCCTAAGAAATAAGAATTTACCAAGAGTCCCATACTGGGAAGGAAAAGGCTGGGTCCAGGTGACACCCAGAGAGGAGCTTATCTCCTGACACATTGCTGACAACTACATGGCTGACCTTGAAGGGCTGGCAGTGATGTTCATGTGTAGGATCGCATCCTGACCAGAACTGCTTAGTCATACGTGTAAGGATTCAGGCATTACACTGGCCTGCCCCTGTCACCTGGCAGAATGCACTCAGGCAGTACTCTGGTCAGCCCAGGGTTCCATGAGTACTAGTCTGCAGGCAAGTGTAAAGGACCCCTTTAAAAGTCAGACCCCTGCCCACTTACACTCTCTTTTGCCTTCCCTCCCCCCTCTTGCTATTGGTTGGCCACCAGGTACCCCCCCTCTTCTTCTCTCCCCCTCTCTCCTCTTCTGTTCCAGGTACCTCTATGTTTCTTCCATTCTCCCTCATTCCCCTTTCTAAATAAACTCCTCATTCAAGCTCTATCTGCCTGGCGTGTTATTCCCTCCCACCTTGGTCACCCTCACCTGATATGGAACCTGCTATGCTCTCCCACGTGGTCCCTTACCTTGGGACCCCACTCACTTGGGACCCTCACCCAGGACCACTCACCCCCACCCCTTCTCCATCTTTTATTCTTAAAACTGTAACTAAAGAACAACAATAACTAAGTCTCACCCTCTACTAAATCCTAAACCAGATGTCAGAACCACCAAAATGAGGGTGGCTGGACCTCTAAACTCTTTACTCTTCCCAATGTGACCACACTGAAATCTTTTTCTGTCCTTCACTATTCCTTGTCTCTGGCTTATTGATGATGAATCACAGAGTCTATCTTGTTAGGGCTGCTAGGAGCAGGCTGCTGAAACCCAGCAACTCCAGAAACATGTCAACTTGTAGAAATAAACATGAGAATTATCATTTCAAATGTGGGCAAGGATTTATTAACAATATTTGTTGTAATAGGAATAATATGCCTTCCCAGTGAGCAATCACTCTGTACATTGAACATTTTAATTATGCACACTACATAATTGAGAGATTAATTGAAGAAAAAGCTTTCTAGAACTTGTCCAGCTCTGGCTATTGCTCAAATAGGGAACAACCAAAACCAGAAGATGTCACTGGCTTATGCATTCTATACATGCTGTCATCCTTAAATCCCTTTTAGACCCCAACCTCAGGTTACACATTGAGCAATGTAAAAACAAAGACAGCAGACTCAAGTCTGGCCACTTGGGCAGATGAGAGAGTTACACAGCAGAGATATTGCCAGGATTATTTAAGTACACCTGTGTTGTTCTTTTCCAGTCATTGTTACTCTGGGCCATCCTGCCCACCTGGAAGATTTATGCTTTTCTGAAAAAAGCACAGGGGACTCAATGGCAGACGAGGACTTAATGGTGGCAGTGATCCTGCACTGTCCCCTAAAGGCATATTCTTTGATAATGGATGGTTGTAAAATGGAGCCTAATTGGAGGTCAATCTTGATGAGTCAACATCAGCAAAACCTTTTCCTGCAAACTTAAAACTTCAAATGTGGAGCAGACTTTTTTCTCCGTTACAAGTCTTGTTAGTGCATTACTTCTCTTCCAGTCTTTCATTTTGTAGTGGTGGTGGTAGGGTGGGGTGTGGGGGAGACAGAGTTTCCCTGTGAAGCCCTGCTTGTCCTGGAATGAACTATGTAAACCAGGCTGGCCTCAAACTCAGAGATTCGCCTGCCTCTGCCTCCCAAGTGGTGGGATTAAAGGTGTGCACCACCACCACCACCCAGCCTTATTCTAGTCTGACTGGAGGCAGCACTCCTTTAGTTAAATTCTACTTGGTACAATTTAATGATTCCTAAGCAAGCTTATTAAAAATATCCCTTATATTTTTTGACAAGGAAGCCAAAATTATATAATGGAAAAAAAAGAAAGTTTCTTCAACAAAGGGTGCTATCAAAACTGGATGTCATCATGTAGAAGAATGCAAATAGATCCATATCAATCACCATGCACAAAACTCAAGTCCAAGTCAGTCAAAGCCCTCAACATAAATCCAGATACATTAAACCTGATAGAAGAGAAAGTACGAAATTGCCCTGAATGCA